GTGAAATTTTCGTCAGAATTATTTTCAACTAACTGATTATACGGTGAAACTGTAGAATCTTGTATTATATTATATTGTTATATTTATTGTTCACGTGAATTTTAGGTTAGATACGAACTACACGACAGCAGTGCTCGGTTATGGCCCATTATTCCGCTACGTGGACGGTCCTCATCAACAGATATCGATTATCGACGAGGTGCAGCACGTGAACGATTCGGTGTCGATCTTACTACATTTGAAACATCCCGTCAATTTCACTCGTTACGTTCGACCACTGTTTCTCGAGAAAACGTAGGTGCACTTTGTTACATTCCACACCACATTGAACCACGTGATAATTGATTTATTGTTTCGTAGGATATACCTGCCTGGATCGAATGATTTTTGTGTGGCAGTCGGAACAGACGAGAACTACGAGACAAAGTCGATTCGTCTGCGACCGGTGCTGAAGAACTGTCAGAATTGTCAGCGATGCTTCGTTAATGCGTCCATCACCGAATGCTCGGTACTTCGTCGTTTAAATAACTTTTCTCTTAACATTAACCAGTTGGCTGTAGCAATTTATTTAAATAGCGTACGCGTGGCTGTTATAATTAATGAATTGACTGTTTAATTTTTTTTATAACCAATGAAAAATGACTGTTTTATTTTTTTATTTTATTAGTAACATCTATTTGTTTACTTGATTTAATCAGTTGGCCGTTTCCGACGAGTATACTCGTCAAAAAAAAGTTTGTATTATAACGAGTATACAGTGTGTCTCACTCAAGTGTGACACCCTATTATCTTCTTTAATTTTGAAAAAGTAAAAATTTTCTATGTGTAATTTCAATGGTATCACGTGGTCAGTATCTCACAGGGGTAGTTTTTTAAAATATTGTTTTTTTCCTAGTTTTCAAGGGGGGTTATTGATATTTTTTAAAAATGACTATATATATTTCAATGTCACATCACACAGTTTATAAAAAAAATACATTCGAATATGTGCTGCGGAATGACCTTCACACGACCTTGAATACCGAAGATGAAGGTCAATTTTTAAATATGTCTCGCAAAGCCTGCATTCTCCTTACAACCGAAATTTAAGTTTCACCTTTGTCTTCGGAGTTCACGGTCGTTTGAAGGTCATAACACAGCATATATTTGAACGTATCTTTTTATGAGTTACGTGATGTAACGTGAAAATATATGTAGTCATTAAGAAAAAACATCGACGACTTTGAGAACTATGAAAGAGGACATTTTAAAGAAACAACCCCTATGGAATACTGATCACGTGATACTATTTAAATTACAGATCAAAAATTTTTACTTTCTCAAGATTAAGGAAGATAATAAGAGGTCCCACTTAAGTAAGACACCCGGTATACTGTACACCCTCGAAAACAGCTAACTGATTAACACGTTCGTGGTCCGTAAACATACTAACGAGTTGCAAAACTAGACAGGTGTGATATGCCAACAAAATACAGATGCAATGGCATTTACGTCAAGTGTTGCGCTTCTAATTCACGCAATGTGCTAGCTAACGGAAGTTTTTAAGAAAAGACAATTCAAAATGAAAATAGTCAATAAACCAGTTTGAAATGCATAATAATTTCAAAGTGTGAACGCTATATGTTAGAATTCAATGCATGATAATGTGGCTTATAAATTAATAAATATAATATAAATATAATATAATATAATAAATATTATATAAATATAATATAGTATAATAAATATTATATAAATATAATATAGTATAATAAATATATTATATAAATATAATATAGTATAATAAATATTATATAAATATAATATAGTATAATAAATATATTATATAAATAAAATATAATATAATATAATAAATATTATATAAATATAATATAATATAATAAATATTATATAAATACAATATAATATAATAAATATTATATAAATACAATATAATATAATATAATATAAATATTATAGCATTCATGTCATTTTCTATCAGAATGAAAATGAATACTATAGCATTCACATTTGTGAACGTGTTAAACAAGGGGAAGAAAATAGTGCCTCGCTGTCGGCTGTTTACTAAATCGTTCAAAGAGAGAGAGAGTCCGCAGATTAATCTTTATCAACTTTTTAAGGAAAATGAAAAGTCTGAGTGGAGTGGAACGATATTCTGCCATGGGAAGAAGGGATGGTACCCGGCCGCAGCCTTCGAAGACGAAAATGGCCCCTGCGACTTCCAGGATACGCAAACATTAACGAGCATCGATCACATAAATCTCTACCTGACGGAAGCTTTGGGTAAAATTTCAACGAATAAGAAAGCGATCAATTGAAAATCATTGTATACACTTCTGAATTGTTACATTGTACATACCGAATTCTTAATTGTTACAGATAAGGATAGGTTGTCGATCGAACCATCTTGCGACGGTTTCCGGTGCCACATTGGCCAGTGCATTTCTGAAAGTCGAGTCTGCGATGGCATTCCGGATTGCCGGGATCAAACTGACGAAGATCCAGAATATTGCAGACAAATTCGTGAACATTGTGATAACGATGTACAAGGTTGCAGTAAGTATTACATTTTTCTGGATCAGACGCATTGATCCTTAGCGGATATTCTAGTGCGAGGTGCGTGTGTTTTTAACTTCGTTAGGGAACTTTTAACAAAGGAACTATTGTACTTTCTGCAGTCAAATTGACAAGGATTATTTTACGTGTTTTTTCAACGACGTTTTAAAATTCTTTGGAATAAAGAAAATTTAAATTAGTGGCATCGCATACTCTTAAACATAGTCGCTTTTAAAAAAGGAGCCCACGATTCCGGCTATTCTGCTTGTCCGAAATAAAAAAAGTGAAAGTTCCTTAATTAGTATGAATTCGGCTGTAGCAGATACTAGAACGAAAGAAGAAAGTCGGTAATTAAAAAAGTGGCGATACTTTGAAATTCGATTATCGATTATTGCATGTTTCGTTAAACTTCGGAGGCCTGAAAAATAGAAAGAAATAAAATTTTTAGTCGATTCTAATAGGAGCTGTAATCAGACATGCACTAAACGTGTGCTTAATATTTCGAGTCAATTGGTCAAATAGGTTTTGAGATATCATGGACACCGTTCTGAAAAACATAGTTTCGAGAAAAATGCCTTTAACGCTAGACATACCATCGCCGGTCAAATGACTGGTTTCACATTTTTTATTTCATAATTATTGAAGTCATTAAACCGCTTCCATAAAAAATGGTTGAATTTAGTTGTTTATTCAGGCAGAAGAGAAGTTTAAATAAATTCTATCCTGTAAATCTTATAAGACAGCACTTGTTAGTCCCTTTTAGATCTCGGTAGGTTTAGTGTTAAAGTTTAGTATATCGATAATGATATAAGGTCGTCGCGCGTCCTTCAAACAACCATAACTTCGTTAATTTTAGAAGTTCGCATGTGAGGTCCAAATTGATTTCTCAAAAGTTTACACTAGAATACTTCGTTAATTGAGGACGCGAAGTCTGACAGACTCTGCTGTAATTATTGTTGCTTATTGTTTCTATCATAATTGGATCTAGATGTTATTATTTCGAGTATCGCTCCCTCTCCCTGTCACCCCCAGCACGTGCAATGCATGCTAAATTTAGTTTCTATATAGAAAAATTTATATCATATTCAATTATATAAAAAATATAATTATAATACATGATATAATTAATAATAAATATAATATTATAATTAATTATAATTCAATGTTAATACTAATATAATTATAATAAATATATTTCAGTGATTAGTTGTTACAAATTCGGATGTCCTCAGTTCAGGGTTAAATTAAATACGAAAACTAGAGGCGACTATACTACATTATTTTAACGAATATATTTCGAACGTTGTTGCAGACTGCTTGAAGTCCGAGCTGCGCTGCAGAAACGGCAAATGCGTTGACAAAAGTGCATTCTGCGATGGAATCAGCGACTGCAACGACGCATCGGACGAGCCCGACATTTGTACCTGCGCGGAGTACCTGAGATTAACGAGACCTGAAAGACTGTGCGACGGCGTTCGCCATTGTCTGGACAAAACCGACGAATCACCGGAAATATGCAACTGCACTGCCAATGCCTTCCAGTGTTTCACGTAAGAAACATTATTTATTATTTATTATTATGATATAATATTATATTATTAATAATAATATTACATTATTATATTATTATAATATATTATAATAATTTATATATACAGGGTGTCCCAAAAATGCCTCGCAATCCGAAAGTGGCGGATTCCTCAGGTCATTCGAAGCAACTTTTTCCTTCACAAAAAATTTTCTCCGAGGCACCGTTAACGAGTTATTAACGAAAAGCAGTGACCAATGAGAGAACTGGGCTTCGTGCGCTGGTTGGCTGGGTCGCCTCGCGTCAGCCGTACTCGATTCTTATTGGTCACTGTTTTTCGTTGATAACTCGTTAACGGTGCCTTGGAGAAAATTTTTGTAAAGGAAGAAGCTGTTTCAAATGATCTGAGGAACCCGCCATTTCTGGGTTGCGAGACATTTTTGGGTCACCCTGTATATATATAAATATAATATATATATATATATATATATATATAAATAATATATATATATATAATATATATATAAATAATATATATATATATATATATATATATATAAATAATATATATATAATATATATATAAATAATATATATATATATATATAAAATGAATTAGTTATATAAAAAATTATAGTAGGAAGAAAAGAAATTAGTCCGATGCGGATGATAATACGGAACTCTTCCTTTGTAGATCAAGTGGCAGCAACACCTGCATCCCTCAGGACTTCATCTGCGACGGGGATGCAGATTGTATCAACGGCGATGATGAGTCAGAGTGTAGAAGACTTTCAACTTCGCCAACCAACAGGTGTGTTTATACATTTATACCGTGAATCGTTACAATTACCGGGCACTAGACTATTTGAAAGTATGTTACAAAAGTTCCTAATTGTTCTCTAATTATTTGTTAATCGTTCGATGTTCGGTTCCAGCGCCGATTCTGGCGAAATAATTCGTCGAAGTTACGGTCTATGGCACACGGAATGTTTCCCAAAACCAATCACGTCCGACGACAAGGCTAACGAACTATGCCAAAGCTTAGGGTACTCTCGTGGAGCCATCGGAAACGACACCATGATCACAACCGAAAAACCCATGATCCTTGAACCAGACAACTTCTACATGGTGAAACTGAACCATTTCACGTGGATGACACTGAGGGACGACAAACCGATGGCCAGATTGGTCGAAGCTGACCAAAATTGCCATCGCGCGTTCATTACCTGTGCTTAATTTAACTAAATTAATTATAATCGCGAATGAATCTCTAATTTATTTGATCTATCATATTTACGATAAGTTCAGCACTATTTATTGAACACTAAAATTGTATGGTGGATATAAAATAGAATATAAATATCCCCTGGAAAGCATTTTCGTTCATCTTGGGTCCATTCATAGAATTTTGCCATAGAATTTTATGTCGTTAATCAGCCAGTCTTATGCGTTGCATGAAAACATATGTGTCCTGGATATGACGAACGTTAAACTCTAACACTGAACCATTTCATCACGCTTCGAACCAAGAAACATGTGATCTCTAGATAACATTATTATAAATTCATTGACTATACAGGGTGGGGCATTTGAAACGAGACACCTGAATAACTCGCTTGTTTTTGAAGATAGAAAAAAAGTGTTAAACGAAAATTATTTGATTTCAAGGTGCACATTGTATGACGTCAATTACTTTTTTATAGGTGGAGGCATAGAGGACATGTGAAGGTCATACTTATTTTTATAAATAATATAAATAAATATATAAATAATATAATAAAATAATATAAATAGAACGACCAAATTTTTCATTCACATTCTGATAAAGCCTTTTAAGACGAATACAATGATCTATAAATGAAGGTCATTCAAGGTCACAACATATGAACTGCAATGAAAAATAAATTTTTCCAGGAGACTTTTCAAATATCTTGAGCATTTGTTGTGCTACGTTGAATCACATTTCACTGGTACCTGTATCTACGGATCCTATTACTAGTTTGTCCTTCGACTTAAGTTATTTGAAAAGTGTTTAGGAAGTAAAAATTTTAAAAATTTTTAAAAGAATTTTACAAATTATCCATACGTTTTTCATTGCAGTTCATACGTTGTGATCTTGAATGATCTTTATTTATAGGTTATCGCATTCGTCTTGAAAGGCTCTTTCAGAATGTGAACAAAAAATTAGGTCATCCCGATTAAAAAAACAAGTGTGACCTTCACATGTCCTCTACGGCTTCACCTATAAAAAGCTTATTGACATCATATAATGTGCCCCTCGAAATCAAACAATTCTTGTTTGACACGTTTTTTGCAATGATCAAAAACAAGCGAGTTGTTCAGGTATCTAGTTTCAAATGCCCCATCCTGTATAGGTCTATTTACTATGATCGATACTGCTTTGCATTCATGTCAGTTAAATCATTTAATATACACAATGTAACCTTCCAATATACAAAGTCATCATTGTAACAAGTACATATATAGGTGACATTATTTATTATATCAATACCATGGCATGTGCCAGCAACCTCGAAAACTGCATAAAATTAAAGTACTTTATTTAATCTAATTAACCCAACAAGGACGACGCGAATGTTAAATCGTTAAATATTATCGTTTAATATATTCTTTCATCGTTAATTATTTCTCCCTTTCTTAGCTTTCTATTCTTTACGCACGGCAATGTATCCGGGGAATCTTTACACAATCTGTGCCATTTGTTTCAAGTATTTTATTAAAATATATATTGTATAAAAATTACCCATACGTACGTGAACAGTACGAGAGTTCGTACACTGCACAGATACCGTCCTCGAGGGGCTAAATTTGAAATGTTAAATTGTCTATCATATTATACCTTACATTTTCAAAGATTATTACGTTTTCTCCGAATAAAATTAAAGAGATGTAATACATTAGCGTGAAAAAAATGGCAGTCAATGTGTTAATACAGCGTTTAAAAAAAAATCTTAACAGCAGCAAGTGCGCAGTCACGAATAATTCAAATACACGTCGCTTAGTCAAATGTTCGAACGCGCAGTCTACCTTTGCGGTTCTCCATTCCGGAACCAGCAACCCAAACGTTTTGCCATTGCAGCGCCTGCACACGGTGCACGCGGATGACATAACTTGCGCATTGCAACATTGCCCGGTGATATCGAGAAAAATTCGAGCAGCAATAGCCGCGTGCGGCAAGCGCGAGCTTTTTAATCGTTTGAATACAGGGTGTCCCACAATTATTTTAACAGCCGAAAATGAGGGGTAGCTGAGGTCATTTGAAGTAACCTTTTCCTTTGCGAAAATGCAATCCACGGCTTTGTTTACGAGTTATTAACGAAAAACACTGGCCAATGAGAGGTGACGGTGCGAGAGAGAGGGTCCGCGAGAGAGTCCGCAGCACCAGGCTTTGACAGAAGGTCGGGACGGACTCGAGCCGAGTTCGAAGTATTGAACAAGTCACGAAGCGAGAACTTTCCGGATTTTTTTTACTACATAACAGTGATATTTTTAAGAAAAACGCTGTTCACCTTTACTTTAGAACGTCTGAGGAATATTCACTAATTTTCGGACTCGAAATAATATGTAGTTTAACCGTGACAG